ACCCTTCCTCTTACTTTCAAACATAAAGTGTCTATTCAGTTTATTCACTGTCCATTGGTTAATGGTCTTGTTGATTCTTTGGGACTTGAGTTTTTTGAGCTCCCTGACTGCTGAGTAGCTGTCAAAGATTTTCTCCCATTCTGAGGGCTGTCCCCTCAGTCCACTGGCTGTCCCCTGGGCATGCAGTAGCTCATTAACCTGCCTAAACATTGTAGAAATGCATATGTGAATGGAGAAAACTAAACAAAGGTTGGTGGAAGATGTTGAAAACCGGATAGTGTTGGGGAGTAAGAGTAAAAGAGAGTTAAAGTACTGGCTATCGACGTGTGAAACATTAAGCTGAAATTGTTTTAATGACAAGAATACAAAACAGGCCTGTCCGGGGTGTGGTTACTAGGGAAGGGTAGAGGGAGGCCAAATGTAGATGGTGAAGGGGGTGAATATGGTCAGAATTCTCTATGCACATGCGTGAAAATGGACCAGTGCAGCTTGTGGAGACTGGATTGGGAGGGGACATGGAGTGGAGGAGATTGGAGATTGGATTTGGGTAGAGGAGGGTGAAGGAGAGGTGAAGTCTGATCAGGTACATTGTGCATAGATCTGTCACAAGGAAACCTCTGTGTACAGCTGACTGTGCTTTTAAAAGTGTGGGGAGGGAGATATTATATAACATAATTAATAGCTTCTTGGAGCCATGCTTATAAAACTTGAATGTGGTGGTAAAAAAAAAAATCACTCTTAGGAGGAAAACCACATTATATTAAAATTTACTAGTAATCTGAATTTCAAACACCATAGTTTGTTTCCGCAGAGCCCAGGGACTTGAGAGGAAATGAAAGAAAAAGAATTTACACATCGGGTTGCTTCAAATAGACACATGAAGGCAAGTTACTTTCATAGACACCAACAATCAGTTGGGAAAATTTAATGGAGTTAATAAAAGGCACCATTTATAACAGCAAAGTGTAATTATATATAAACTATCTCTGTAATTTAGACTATCTACAAATGAACAATGTGAAGGGATTGAAATTTTACACTCAGACAACCAAGAAAGTTTTTGGGTATTATCTGGTCAATGGAAGATGTGTTGCTGGTTAGTCCCAGAACGTTTAGGCTAGAAATAGACTGAGAATACTGTGAGCATTGTTTTGCGTAGCTCCAAACCTGACACCATTCAAAAGTTCATCCAGGCAAATGAGATATATGAATTGGAAGATCATCACACAATGGAATATTATAACAGGAATGAAATTTAAAAAAAGAAAACTACAGCTCTATTCAACAGTATGGGAGATTCTGAGACTCTGACACCACAGAAAAAGATGTTACAGTTTGGATAGAGGTGGTTTGAATGTGACCACCGGACACAGGGAAGTTAGGCTCCATACATATTCATATATGTATGGGTGTGTATATGCGTACATGCATGTGCATATATGTCTATATACATATAAATGTTTATGTTGTATATACACACATAACATATATGGTACATTTTTGTTGCATATTGTGTAGGCAAATATCACAAAACAAAACACAGTTGAAACAAATTTGATAGATCAAATCATGGTTGTTGATGTTACTAGGAGATTATATCCTGTACATGAAAATGATCCTTTAGAAACACATCTAAAATAATGACAAAGTGGCCTGTGTTTCTAAATATATAGTTTATAACCTAAGAAATGGTCAGTAACTAGATGCACAGAGTAATTTGTTATAAGAGTGTTATGAACGTTTGCCACTCGACCAAGAAGCCATTTTTTTTTAAAAAGTAGCCCTGTTATTCTGAGAGTATAGATGCTCATTAATACTCATTGCATGTGCTGGTAGTGTGGGTAAGAGCTGGCCTGCACATTGCTCAGTAGAAATCAATATGGCTGCAAGAGCATCACGATCTATCTACATCCTCAACTTCATCCTTTCACATCTAGGAATTTTTACTCAGAAACGAGTCAGATATGGACCATGCGTGTTTGCCACAGTGTTATTTAAGATTAAAAAAATTACTAGCTGGGTAGGACTGCTCATCCCTACAGTCTCAGTACTCAAGGTGCGAGATTGGGAGGATCGCAGTTCAAAGATCTCATTGTAAGTAACAAGCCAGGAATGGTGGCTCACACCTGTAATCCAGACTTTGTGAGAAGCATCAGGTAGAAGCATTGTAGTACAGGGCAACTTAGGCAACACCAGGAGATTGAACTGAAAGTAAAATACTAAAAGGCAAAAGAGGGCTAGGATGTGTCACAAGTGATAGAGTGATAGAGAGCCTATCTAGCAAGTGTAAGGTCTTGAATCCAAATACCAGCACCACCAAAAAAAATAAAATAAAGTAATAAGTAGCTGGAATCCCATGTCCCAAAAGGAAGTGTCAGTTCAATAGTTTATGGATACTCAAATACTGGAAAGCAGTAACTTTCTGCATGAAAATGCTGGCTTCATTCTGATCACCAGTAACCATACAGGCTGGAGAAATACCTTTGAGAATGTTGTTGCATCTCAGGGAAGGTTCTGGTCACTACCTGAGTATCTAGTATATAGTATCTGCCAAGAGTATACAGTTAGGAAGCCACAAGCCAAGAGAACCTGAGCCACCTCATCAGCCCTCTGCTCCTCCATTTCTTTCCTCATCCTTTCTGCCCCTGCCTGTATCCCGATCTGCTAGCTTTAACTCATTTCTTGCAACCGAAGCATTTTACTGTTCTATGAAATATTCTTCTAATTGATTTAAAACGAAACAAAACACAGAGCTATAAACATGCTGAGGATAGTAAATAAAATAATCTAATATTCACACAAAATACTATTTGATCTGAATTTGAAGGATATATATCATCATCAAAATTATATTACTTTCTAGAATAAGGAGTTGACAAAGATGGAGAGATGGCCAGAGAGCATTTGGCCTTACTTACATTGTTGTAGTTTCATGTGATTCCGAATTAATACATTACAGTAGAAAAGGTGACACTGTTACTGTGGTAGGTACTTGGGAAATGTATGCCCAAGAGCTCTCCAGAGATGCAGAAGCAATCGGAATACATATGCACACATATGTATTCGCACATGTGCATGTGTACACAGATAGGTAGATAATACTAGATAGATAGATAGATAGATAGATAGATAGATAGATAGATAGATAGATAGATAGATAGATAGATAGATAGATAGATAGCAGTCCCTGCCTTAATAGTGATTCAGTTCCAAATACTTTGACTTTACAAGGGGTCAAAAGAAAATGCCTTCATTTGCGGAGGAGAAGGGAAAAAACAAATTGTTTAAGCAGGGATACAGGTTGACCCATTACAACAATGAGATGTACAAGATGCTATGTTGAAAAATGAACTTTACAATTTAGGTGGCGGGGGTTGGGGGGTGGGAGAGTGGAGGGGGGTGTAGCTGTAGAGATGGGAGGGGAAAAACAAAGGAGGAGGCAACAATGCTTGATAAGAAATGTACTCATTACCTTGCTCATGTAATTGTAACCCCTCTGTACAGTATTTTCATAATAAAACCTTACTTAAAAAAAAGAAAATGCCTTCAAGATAAACCATACTTCAAATTTCAAATTTCAGTCTTTCCCAGGCTAGCTCAACATGCAGTACAATATTCTCCTGTGATGCTAGGCAGAGACACTGAATCAAAATTCCAGTCAGCTACACAATCAAAGCCAAACTGATATTCTGTGTTGAGCCTTGTCTCCACCATAGTCAATAAATTACCTGAGATAGCACACTTGGTTCTAGCAAGACAGAGTGTTACTTACTTTTGTCTAGGTGTGGGTTAATGTAAGCATTCTGAGCACATGAAGGTTGGCTAAGCTAACTATGATATTCCATTTGTCAGATGTATTAAGTATAATGATGACACAATATTTTCCATTTAGAGTATTGCAGATGAGCAGGAGGTTAATTCATTATAATGGCATTCTCCACATCATAGAGGATAGTCTGCTTCACTTAAAAGAAACTGATAACGGCCTTCCCTGAGCCATCTTGGACCAGCGCTCAATGGAATACATGAATCCATAGCCTGCCTAGATTGCACACCACACCAGTCAGCACAGGATTTCTTCAAGCTCCCTTTCTTACCTGTGTGGAGGAGAGGCTCAGAGCTCACACCTGTACATCTTTTAGGGCCTGGTGTATACCTCCGGGGCTGAGGACTCTGTAGGGCCTGTGTAGGGCTTTGTATTTCAAGCTTTCCCTGCACTGCACTGAGTATGGCTTATGGCTTCTCCCAATGTCCTGGATCTCTGCTTATTCTGTGCCCTGGATATCAAACAGACACAGAGCTCCAGTTGAAGCAATTGTGGAAAAGATTGTTTTTTTTTATAATTTCAGATGAGTGGTATTCCTGCTCTTTTCTGTTTCTTGCTAATTATATATTATTCAGCAGAACTTTAATATTGCCATCTTATGAAATTCTGTCAAAGAAGAAAGAGAAAAGATAACCCATAATCATCCTACCCTAAAATAACCAGTTTTAACATTTGGGTGCCCTGCTGTCTTTTTCCTCCACGTGTAATTTGGCAGAGCTGTAATCATACCCAGTACACCATTGTACAGTGCCTCCTCCTCTGACTCTTTCACAGTATTTTTAATGTTACTACATAGTCTTCATGACTTTAATATTCATCGCTGCACAATAGTTCACCGAGTTCGAGTGTTTGATGTACTGAAGTATCTTGTGATCTTTAGACAATTTCCAGTTTCTCTTGGCAACAAGTATGCATGTTTTTGTGGCGATAGTAGATTTTTTTTTCACACCTTGAAGTCTCATCTAGATGTCAACTTAGTCAGCTGAGGTTAAGACTTCTTGTTTTGTCTCAACATCTGTTTTTGAATGTAACTAGGTTTAGGGAGTGCATCTATTCACTCTGCTTCTGGTGTGAGTGAAGAGAGTTGAACTCCTTCAAGTGGAGAAAGGAACCAGGAGGACTCAGCCCTGGTTCTCACCTGCTCAACTGTCCTACGTTGCTGTGTGTCTTACAGACGGAGCAGCTGCTAACCCTGTGGGTGCTGTTTATCATCACCATCGTGGGGAACTCTGTAGTGCTGTACTCCACGTGGAGGAAGAAGAGGAAGTCCAGGATGACCTTCTTCGTGACTCAGCTGGCCATCACAGGTAGGCCACTGTTCAGGTGGGAGGGAAGGCATTCTGTGCAAAATCACTTAGGGCTCCTGCCTTCAATTTTCCCACCCACAGAAATGTGGTCTCCGCAATTCAAAAGCATCATCAGCAAATTTAGGGGTCATTTCTACAGGGACCTACAACTCACACCTGAATATTTACATGTACCCCCCATGAAATCCCATTATAAAAACAACAGCTTACAGACTCGGAAACATCATTCTCCTCAGTATAACTGTGTGCTTCTGTAGGGTTTTCCTGCCCTTCTACACAATGGCCTCCAGGTTTGCTGAGGTCATGGAACCATGACCATGTTCAGAGCTTAAAGAATATCTCCTAACAACAGACCAGAACCATCTATATTCAGTCATAAAATGTGGAGCCTCAAGTTCTTGCAAGCTCACCTCTGTGGACATTGCTTTCCAAATGCTCATGAGGTATAACCCTTCTGCTAGAGGGAGCCTAAGAAAGTGATGGGTAATTCAGGATTTGGATGTTTCAGTGTGAGCTAAGGAATGGCTGATGCAGCTGTATGAGCCCAGCACATCTGGAAGGAGACTGGAGAGATTACAGATAGACAGACCAATGACAGATGGAAGGGAGGAAGGGAAGAAGGAAGGAAGGAAGGGAGGAAGGGAGGAAGGGAAGAAGGAAAGAAGGAGGGAGGGAAGGAAGAAAGGAAGGAAGGAAGGAGAGAAGGAAGGAAGGAAGGAAGAAAGGAAGGAGAGAAGGAAGGAAGGAGGGAAGGAAGGAGGGAAGGAAGAAAGGAGGGAAGGAAGGAAGGAGGGAAGGAAGGCAGGAAGGAAGGAAGGAGGGAGGGAGGGAGGGAGAGAGGAAGGCAGGAAGGCAGGAAGGAAGGAAGGGAGGAAGGGAGGAAGGAAGGAAGAAAGGAGGGAAGAAAGGATGGAAGAAGGGAAGGAGAGAAGGGACACTCGATGGAGCCCATGTTCAGAAGAAAAACATAGCCAGAGAGAAAGCACAGAAGGCAAAGGGGGAGCACAAAGAATCCAGCCTAAGCCAGGACAGGAGTCCTAAGCCCTGGGTCTAAGATGGCTGCTTTGAGCATTTAGTCTTGAGCTACAATAACATGACATGAACTTACAAGAGAATCTTGACTAAACCTTGATAACTTGCAATCTCCTTGGCTGTCCCTAACAACAGGTAGCTCTGTCTGACCTGTGGCAAGAAAAGGGTCCATTGTAAAACATGTATATGTATATGTGTACATATGCGTAAATGTGCACGTGCATATAAATGTGTGTGCATGTATGTGTATGTAAATGTGCATGTGTGTATATATGTATATGTGCATATTATGTATTATGCACATATGTGTATATGTAAATGTGTGTAAATGCTTATGTAAATGTATGTATGTATCCATCTGCCTAAGAATATGTGTATGTAAATGTCATGTGTATATGATTATGCATATATGTAAATGTATAGGTAGAGGTATTATAAATATATGTGTGTATGTATAAGTGTATCTTCCAGAGTCATAGGGTATGGCCAGTGGTGGGGAAGCTCCTCCAATCTCTCCTACAAACAGGACCCTCACTTCCCTCCCTTATGGTGGGTGACAGGAATAGAGGCTAACCACTGCCTTCACAAATGCTGAGGTACAAAAATCTTGACCGAGGGCATCCTAGCTTCTTTTATCCTATTTCTTTGATTACTACTTTCCATGGAACTATGAATTCTATTCAGCATATGAGAAGTTAGAGATCATAAGGATCTCAACTTGGAATTGAAATTTTTGCCCCAGAAAATAAATAATTGATGGAAGCTTCATTTTTTTGCCACCAATAACAAATGAATAATTGAAATTCTATTATCTAATGTCAGAGAGAAAAGTGGCATGGTCTATTTTTATTCATAATCTAATTAACCTGCATTTAACTTCTCACAAATGTTCCAGATAGAAGGTTGCTACTTGTTGATAACTTTCTGGATAAACTGAAGGAGTCAGGTCAGAAGTATTTCAGGTGAAGTATACTTCTTCATGAGAGAGGTATTAATAGGGCTGAGAGTCAGGGAGCTAAAATTAGACTCCTACAAGATATCAAAATGTCTTGCATACACATTTCCCCAGGGCCTCGGGTCTCATGGTGAGGTAGGAGATGATACATATAGAAGCTGGAAAATGCTAATAAAATAATTCAACATCGGTCTGTTCATTGAGATTTACATACATCTGGTTTGAGCCCCTAGTCCCTACCTACGGTGGTTTCAATCTTTCTGGGCTCTATATTCTTATCGCTTCAGGTTCTTGCTTTCTGCTATGGGACTATGAGTTCTCTTAAGAATGTGAGAACTTGGAGATAGAAAAGGATAACAATTTAAAATATTATTTTCAGTAAAACTTTAAACTTCTTTGGGAACGTTTATGCTCCTGGCTGTGGCAGTTTCCATTCGGTGGTTGATTTCACCTCCAAACTCCATGGCAAATTTTCCTCTTTTATTCAGGATGTGGCTCAGGTGTGATTTGGCTTTGGAGCAGTGCTTTTATAGAACGACCAACTTTTTTTTTTATCCAATGTATTGTTGAAGTAGTTCAGAACACCCAGCTTGGGAATATTGACTAGAGCCAAAGGTCCTATAAAAGCAGCGTCTGAACAAGAGGTTTTCTCTCAGCTGCTCTTATCTGCCTAAAGGCAGATCCTCCAGGAAGAACTTGGCTGCCGAAATCCCCTCCCTGGGATCTCATTAACCCGAGGAGATTGATTCTAATCCCCAGGAGAGAATGCAAGTTGCCACCACACCCAGGTAAATGATTTCAATCTCCCATCTATCCTTCTAAGGGCCCCTTGAGACATCCCCAAATCCCTTATTCTCCCCTCAGTGGCCATATCAGCTCTCCCTCTCTCCCCTAAGATAGCATGCAAGCTCTCAAATCCCACTGCTTCTGGACATAATTAGTCACTCCAGTCCCCATCTCAAAAATAGCTAAAGCAAGAAGAGCTGTAAGCATGGCTCAAGTGGTAGAGTAACAGCCTATTAAGTGTGGTACTCTGAATTCAAGCCACAATACCACACACACACACACACACACACACACACACAAGCAATTAACTTGCATACTTTTTCTCCTATTGATCTGCCAAATACATAACCTAGCTATTGAATCTGGGCAGTCTTTCCTTCTTTAGCTTCTGAAATCACCAGATGCAACTGCAGTCATCAGTGACTGGATCTGGAAAGCTAATGTCCAAGCAAAGTTGTTCCTGCTTCCTCCTCTCTTCCCTCTCCCCCTTCCCCTCCTCCCTCTCCTCTTCCTCTCTCTCCTCTTCCTCCCCCTCCTTCTTCTCCACCTCCTCCTCTTCCTCCTCATCCTCTTCATTATTATTGTGGTAGTACTCAGGATTTCAAGCTTTCACTTGGCTTTTTATTTTTAACTGAAGGCTAGCACTCTACCATTTGAGCCACAGCTCTATTTCCAGTCTTTTGCTGATTGACTGAAGATAAAAGTCTCATGAACTGTTCTGCCAGGGTAGCTTTGAACTCAAATTCTTAGCTTTGAACTCAAATACTGCCATCTGAGTAGCTAGGATGATAGGTGTGAGCCACCAGTGCTCAGTATCCCTGGCTCTTTTAGGGGTGGTGTGGGGGAGGAAGGCAGAAAGCCTTCTAAGATGTTGTCAAATAAGGCCAGACTAAGTAAATTCTCCATTAGATAGCATTTGCTACCTTGTCAGCCATCTTGAAAACAATCTCCTACTTATATACTGAAAGTTTTGAATGATTCTTTTTTAGTGTGTGCCAGTCCTGGGACTTGAACTCAGGGCCTGAGCACTGTCCCTGAGCTTCTTTTGCTCAAGGCTAGCACTCTACCACTTGAGCCACAGCACCACTTCTGGCTTCTTCTGTTTATGTGGTGCTGAGGAATTGAACCCAGGACTTCATGCATGATAGGCAAGCACTCTACTGAGTGATTCTTTTTTTTAGGGGGGGGGGGCGTCCGGTCATGGGGCCTGAACTCTGGGCCTGGGTGCTGTCCCTCAGCTCTTCAGCTCAAGGCTAGCGCTTTACCACTTGAGCCACAGTGCCACTTCCGGCTTCTTTCTTTTTTGCTTATGTGGTGCTGAGGAATCGAACCCAGGGCCTCATGCATGCAAGGCAAGCGCTCTACCACTGAGCTGCCTTCCCAGCCCTACTGAGTGATTCTTTAAAAACACTTTACTTCCATTTTGTCTTTTCTGTATTTTTTTTGGCATGTCAGTTGGAGTCAGGTTCAGTTGCACATGAATAAAATCTAGATAAAAAAGGCTTACATTTATGAGGATTTATTTTTATCTTATGTAAAGTTCAGAGCTAGCTAAACCAGAGCTCGACTTTTCTTATCATGGAAGAACAGGCTCCTTTATAATTCTATTCTATTAAAGGACTTTCACCCTCAAAGTCATCCCCTCCTGGGATGTATGGTTGGATCTTGGCTTGAGACAGCTGTTAGAATTCCTGCCATTTCAACATGTCCAAATTCTAGTCAGTAAGGAAGGAAGCGGGGAGGGGCTCAAGGCAGCCACCAGTCCTGTTTTTTTGTTTTTTTTTTGTTGTTGTTTTTTTTTTTGGGTCTGGTCATGGGGCCTGAACTCTGGGCCTGGGCGCTGTCCCTCAGCTCTTCAGCTCAAGGCTAGCGCTCTACCACTTGAGCCACAGCGCCACTTCCGGCTTTTTTCTTTTTGCTTATGTGGTGCTGAGGAATTGAACCCAGGGCCTCTGGCATGCAAGGCATGCGCTCTACCACTGAGCCACCTTCCCAGCCCACCAGTCCTGTTTTTAACTGGTATTCCCATCTAGAGGTTACCTAAAGGCAGGCAACCATCTTTTAACCATAAGCATACGAATAGACAGATCACTTTAAAGATGGAAAGGACTTCAGCAGCCACATGCCAGGAAACAGGACAGGAACTGAATAACTATGTATTTGTATTTCAAAAGCACAATTGTGCTCTCTCTCCTCCTAAGCTGTTATCTTGGCTGTTATCTATATT